TACTAATATTCATTTAGATATCCTAACAATAACTAAGGACAAAGAGAAAATTAAATTTGTAAACAATTTACTTATCACTGTTACTTAATGCAAAACCCTGTTTCAAATAACTTTCTTATTTTATATATTGATTGGTATGTATAATTTTCGAATTACCACTTGTTAGGTGTATCAGTATTCAGTATTTTAAAATTTAAATTGTACCTCATTTTTTATTTTTTATTACCGCATACTATATTTGTTTTGGGATATAATTGCGTTCGGGGTTTTCAGTATATAGTACACAAGAAAATGTTCAACTTTCATAGTATTTTAATTCTGATCACTTTATTTCGTAGATATACAATAACTATAAATATGTGCTTTAACATAAAATAATTTGTGATATGTGAATATTAAAACATCTTACTAAACAAATACTCAACAATAGTGCAAACTGTTGAAAATCTTTTAATATTTATTGATTTTTTAAAATCGATGTAATAAAAAAATGTTTGTAATTAAATAATGATAAATAAATAATAACTTTTATAATATGAATATATTTTTGACGTGTTAGGATAGCCCAAAATATGTTATAATAGAAAATATCTATAAGGTAAAGCTGGTTCCACACTATGCGTTTTAGACACCAGCGTACACGTTTAGCCGCCGAACAATTTTAAACAACTGTAACGATGTTTTACATTTTATAAACACGTATATTTCGAAAAAAAATAAATCAAAAGTAATATAATATGTAAAAACAATGATACTTACGATTTTGTGAATTCTGTTCTAAAGACAATTTAGACAATGTATTTATCCTAAGTGAATCCATTGTCAAAACTTCCCGTAAGAAGTTGTGAAGCTCCCTATGAGACAAAGAGACATTGTTTACCTAGTTTTTGATTACATACATACAATACACATTCACATTTTACATTTAAACTGTCATAAACCTAAAATATAATAACGGTTACCATTACTTTATTAATCACATAGAATAATATATATCTGTATGGATACATGACAAGCATACACAGGTTTTTATATCGGCTACGGAGAAACAAAGTCCATCCACAGACTAGATTCTGTCCAAGATAAACCCTCGGAGACACGCAGGCAGTATGTTTCATACCTGAGGCAGAGTGTTGTGGTGAGTGGCGAAAGGAGAGAGTTACGCGTGCAAGAAACTGAAAAGACATGTCTCATGAACAATTTAATTGAGAACTATATACCTATGGATTGGTTTCACCCGTGCCTGGTATTTTCAATTTTTTATCTCATCATGTGTAACGATTAATGATGTACCTTCATCAGGTGAAAAGTGGAAGTGCTTTTGTACTGTCAGGTAATTCGTGATCTGATGTCCCGCGCAACAACAAATTATATTTTTTATAAGTCTTGTCTGAACAGAAAAAGTGTCCTTAACTAAAACATGAAGAAAATACTTCCAAACAAAGTCTTAACTAAGAAACACGATTGTTAAAAATGCTGTGCCTTTCCCGTCCAATTATGACTTCATCGTTATGATAGTTGTTAGACAGAAAACGTGTCTCTAATAAATTAATTTATTAACTTCTTAATTACTACCGCACTAGCAACTCTGTAAAATAATATTTTTCATAAAAATTATAGTAATGATAGAAGGAAAAATAATAAAAATATTAATACATTTTAAACTCAATTTTTAAAGGGTAATATAAACATGTATTCTATTAAAATATAGCAAAACGAAAAATTACTGTTCTCAAAGGAGCCTCTAGCTTGGACTTGTAAACAAAAAATTCGTCATTGCCCTACTTGACCGGAACCGTCTTCTCCTTCTTTCCATTATTTACATTTTCAATGTTATACATTTTTTTTTTTTTTTTTTTACTGACTGTGTGTCTATACTTCATCAAAACCTTATAATTATTTCCCAATATTATAAATATGACCATTTCACAATTTTATTTACTTATAGGTAAACGATATTGTGGCCTCAGCGCATACTCGTATAATCAGCACTATTTCCATGCATGCCTATTGCATCACACATATACGACAGTGTTGTGTTTTCATAACTTGTATTGAATAAATATCATCGACATCGCGATTAAATATGCCAGTCCCAAACAAACAAACGTAAAGGGAGCTAGGAGTAGATCCTACATTTATTGACGAAGTTTTCAATGTTCCAGGAAAAACAAAATGTAGAAATATGGATTTAGCTTACAATGTGATCCGAGTACTAAACATGATTACAATTATTATTATGTATTAAAAAAAAATATATTTACTTATACGTTATGTATACTACCGTTTGATTTAATTATTTTAAATGTTGTCTCCTCTAATCTAGAACCCAAGAACACCACTGCCCGTAAGTATACTGAAAGTACCAACGAAAATGACGGCTGGCCGAGAATTTCAAAACAGACATTTATTTATTAAGATTATTAATTTAGGTACCTATTTTATCACATATTTGTCATGAGTTTTTTATTTGTTAATATATTTAAAAATATATACATTGGTAAAAACTAAGGTATAGGTGCACTTTAAATTATAAAGTATGACTTTAAAAAAATAAAATATATGCAAAATCATTTTTGATTATTACAGCTATGTGTATTATTTATTGAAAAATTATGAAAAAGGTTATTAAAAATTATTTTTTAATAAACTACGATATTATATACAATATAATTTACAATTGTGTTGAAAAAAATAAATAAAAATAATATGTTCCACATTTGTCTCGGTAATATTATAAGGACAGCATATAATAATGTGTTTTAGAAAAATGTTGTTCCAAATTAACGCTTGGTACGGGTGCATGTTGAAAGATCGGAAACATTTTTGAGGAAAAATGTTGGATAAAAAACTCTTGAAGTCGACATTCTCATCTTGGTACATTTTTGAAATGTCTTCAACAACTTAAGGTAATATTGATAAAATTAATAAAGTTAAGTATAAACTTAACATTTATGATTTTGTGTGCGGATTTTTAAAATTATATTAATTAATATTTGCAGGATATTTTTCAACTACGTATTTTTTTTAAAAATAAGCTTATCAAAATAGAACTAAGATCTTGAAATATAATATCATATTATAGTTACAAATAATAACATTTTCAGCATTTAGGAGGAATAATTTAAAATTTAATCTATTAAGAAGAAAAAAAATAATAAACATTCTTGTTTAAAACATCTTATTTTAATTTATGTCCCATTACTTTTTCCATTTTATTTATATGTATAATACATAATACGATGTTAGAACGTTCTTTTTTTAACTTTATATCACTTTAATTTTTTTCATTTTTGTATTTTATTTTTGTTGCATCCATAAAAATCCCATTAAATAATTCGTGTACTATGGCTTTAGGTGTGCATTTAATATGACGTTCATTTTGATTTAACTATATCTGCATTGTCAGTCTTGGGTTCCTATTTTTTAGAGCAGTTATGTTAAAATTAATAAAATTATATTTATTTTTCGTTTCTACCTACAAATTTTGACGATTTATTGATTTAAAAATATTGCTTTCACTTATTAACTATTCAACGTCAGAACTGTGAAGTTTTGCAGCTATAAAACGAGCAAGTGAAATAGTAATATTTTTAAACTCGTTGGAATCAGATAAAGAGTGCTCTAATTTTGGTAATGGTATTTTTTGCATCTCTTCTGTTATATTTTGTTCCATTAAATATACGTATACCATACTTAGATCTGCTGAATCTAAATTATTACCCAAAACGTTAAATGCATTTCTAATGTTAGCATTACAATCAAGGTTAGCAACCGGTTGAATAGTACTAACAAAATATTGATCAATATATATATAATTATGCTAACGCTGTAGTACATCAGCACGGATTTTAAAAATTGATCCTTCAAAAATTACTTATTTTATTATTATATTGTTTATATTGCAGTTTTTCATTACTGTTAAATTTTTAAATTAAATAAATTTTAATTTTTTAAAACTGTAGAAATTATATTTTGGTCATGATTAGGGAACGGATTTTAATTTAAATAAATATTTTTATGTAATAATAGCATTAGAAAAATTTCGATATATGTATACGTTTCATTTAATTTCAAGTAATTTGATGCTAATTTTATTTTAAATATTTTTAAATATTTTAGAATAATTAAATTTTTTTACAAATAAATACATAAATTATGTAATATTGTAGAATTTCCGTGTATATTTTAATTATTTTACAAATAAATATACGTATTCTGTATTATTGAAGAATTTCCATTTTTATTTTATTATTTTGCGATACGATTAGGTTTCTGTACTGTACACCTTTGACATCAAACGACAACGATTCGATATCTTATCTAGTTATCTAAGTAGTAGGTAGTAATTTCAGTATATGAGTATATGCCAGTGCTGCCAAATGGTACGATCATGGGGAAGTACGATAATTTAGTGGCAAGTACCATCCCCCATCAAACCCTTTGATGGATCATGAAGAATACGATATTTTAATAGTAATAATTTATTTATTTAAACATGGAAAAATTGAAAAATTAAATATTTAAAACAAGTTTATCTTTTTTCGGGATAAGGTCGTTGCTCGTCGGCAATCGTCGGCTCGACTTCATAGTCTATATTTGTATTGTACACGTTACCAGCTATGAAACCAATTATGATGGCTATAAATAAATATATAAATTATGGCAGTATTATTGTTTTGAGCCTTGAGGTATTATGATCCTAGAACATTGTTGTGACCGTTGTGGGTTTCTAAGCTATTTATAAAATTGATAACCGATTAACTACTACGAAAAAAAAAAAATCTAATGTTTATTGTTATATTTTAATATAGTGTATTAGTGTGTTATACGTAAATACGTTATAACATTATACATGCGACTGTGAATTGTCGACGGTTCATATTATAATTTTTAGTCTTCGGAGCACGTTGATTATATTATTTTGTTGTTTGTGACCACGGGTTCGTTGTTTTTTATAATTATTTTTTGTTTTATTCTAATTTTATCGAATTTTCGTGATGAGTGGAAATGAAAGTGACAGATGTTCGACGCCAGAAAAAACTAAACGGAAACGAGGAGAAAATTCCAAAACCTATTCTCACAAAAAACAAAACTTTAGACAAGAATGGTTAACAAATAAAGATTTTAGCAATTGGTTGTTGCCAGTTAATAATAATAAGTTATTAGCTAAGTGTAAGTTATGTATTACAAAAACGACTGCTGAATTGAGTATACTTAAAAAATATGCTCAAACAAAAAAACACAAAAGTTCGATGAGTTCCATTGGTAGTAGACAAAATTCGATAAGTACATTTTTAAATAATACAGATCAATTTAAGTTAGCAGATCAAACTAAAAAATCTTAAGTATAACTACTATTGTAGTTTTATAAGTGAACATAATTTACCATTCAATATTAGCCATCATTTGGTAAAAATATGTAAGGCAGCATTCCCGGACTCAAAAATGTGTTCAAATGTATCATTGGCTCGTGCAAAATTAACAGCTCTTGTATCTAATGTTATTGGACATTATTCTCTTGAAGAACTTGTAATGTCTTGCAAAACACAGTGTTTAGTGTGATAATTGATGAAAGCACTGATGTTGGCTGTGTGAAAACAATGTGTATATGTGTAAAGTATTTCGACAGTACATCCAATTTTTTCGAAACAAGATTTTTCAAGCTCGTCCAGTTGTTTGAGGATGTACAAAGTGCAGACAAAGGAGCTACTGGTCAAAAAATATTTGATGAAGTTCTTAAAGCTTTCACAGATTCTAAAATTCCGTTGAATAATTTAATCGGTAACTGAGTTGAAATTTTATTTAGAAACAACTTATTATTTATTAATTTATTAAATTATATTGTAATCACCTATTTACTTTATTTTTTGTAGGATTTGCTTCAGATGGTTGCAACACTATGTTTGGTGCATCAAATTCTGTAACATCTAGACTAAATGAATTTTCGCCAGGTAACACATTAATTTATACTGCAATATTTTTATTTTTTTTTTGTTTTTTATTTGTTTTATTACACAATCTGTAAATATATTATTTTTACAATAAGTGTAAGTGTTGTAGTAGATTTATATAAAAAGACTGAAGACTTGAGCAAAAAACCCATCCAGTGATGGGACTTCTTTGGAGTTGCGGATGGGTTTTATTCAGTCAGGAGGTCCCGACACCATTTTTGTTTCAAACGTCGTCCAGGGTCACCTGGAATGCTGAGGGTGGATAAGTTTGATATTAGAGGATTACGGTGGTTGGAGAGATTTGAGTGGAATCGTTTATACAAAGTTTTGGCTACGAGTTGAACTGTTGGAATATACAGGTCCTTGTGGAGTGTATCGTTTGAGACGTAAAAGGGGGCTTTGGTAATTTGTCGAAGGCATTTAGATTGGAATATTTGAATTTTATTTATGTTGGATGGTTTGGCTGAACTCCAAAGTTGTATACCATATGACCATACGGGCTTTAGTAGCAGTTTATATATAAGTATTTTGTTGTTCAGATTGATGTGTTTAGATGTAAGGAGTAGACGTAGCTGACGGGATCGGTTATTCAAGGCAATACGTTTGGTATGGATGTGGTGGGCCCAGGTTAATCGACGATCCAGGTGGAGTCCAAGGTACCGGACATTTTGTGTGGGTGGAATGGGTATGTTATTGAGGGTTATGGTAGGGCAGTTTCTAGACCTTAGAGTGAATGTACAGTGGGCTGATTTTGATTCGTTTATTTTTATCCCCTAATCTCTCTACCAGTTTTGGAGGAGATTTAAATGGACTTGAACGTGGTTGGAGGCTATTTCAGGGTCTGAGTTAAGCACCATAATAGCTTTGTCATCGGCAAAATCACCTGTGATTGTATGGTTGGTTGTTGGTTGGTCGGAGATGTATAGGTTGAATAAGAGTGGGGCTACTACGGCGCCTTGGGGAACTCCAGCGTGGATGGGATTTATTTCAGATAAGGCTGAACCAGAGCGTACAGCAAAGTTCCTGTTTTCGAGGTATGATTTGAATAATAGATAGTAGTAGGGAGGGAATATGGATTTCAGTTTGAAAAGAAGGCCTTGGTGCCACACTTTATCAAAGGCCTGGGCCATGTCTAGGAATGCGGCTGTACATATTTGTTTTTTTTTCAGAGAGAATGAGATTTTGTCTACTAAGCGGTGGACTTGGTGTTTACGGAAGCCAAATTGATTATTTGGAGTATTTGATTCGATAATTGGAATAATACGTTTTAAGATAAGTTTTTCGAAAATTTTCGAGAAGAGTGGGAGTAAGCTAATAGGTCTATAGGAACTGGGGGTATCAGGAGGTTTGTTCGGTTTTGGTATCATCACTATTATTGAAAATTTCCATAGAGCAGGGAAGTAAGTTAGTCTTATCATAGAATTGTATATATTAGTTAATAAAAGTATGACTTTTTTGGGTAGTTGGGAAGCTACTTCAGCGGTTATTAGGTCGAAGCCTGGGGTTTTCTTTCGAGCAGATTTGTCTATAGTATATTTAACTTCGCTTGGTCGTATGTGTTTTGGAGGGAGACTCGTTGGCAATGAACAGAGTAGAAAGTGATTTATTTTGTGAATTTGGGTAGTGGATAGAATATCGGCGTGCGGTTTGAATGTAGAGTCCAGATGGTGACGGAATATATTTGATTTTTCTATGTTGTTTATTGCCCATGTTCCATCTGCTTTTCTCAAGGGCGGAACTGGGGGTTGACTACGAAGTATTTTTCTGGTAGTTTGCCAAAGTGAATTGTCACTTGAGGAGAGACCTATTAGATATTTAGTGATGTTTTCGGATCTAATTTGGGCAAGGTGCCTTTTGAGTTTATTCGTGAGATTATTGAAAACACGTTTGTCGGATGGAAATCTTGTTCTCTGCCAGGTGGCTCGGGCTTTTCGTTTTTCCGCTATTAAGGACCTGGTATAGAGGGGGAGGTTTTTGGTGGTGCTTTTGGGAGTGGGAGGGGAAGAACAGGACCATGCCGTTTCTTGTATGGATTTTGTGAGGAAGTTAACTGCTTCGTCAATATCATTGGGGGATTTTAAACTTATATTGAGGTTTATTTTGTTTTCGAGGGAGGATCTGAAGGTTACCCAGTCTATAGCGCCTTGAGTTAAAGTAGGTTTACTTGGTTTGTTTGGTGGCATAGTGTTGATTGTGAGGAGAACCGATGAGTGGTCAGAGCAGAGATCATCTAAGTAGGTTACTATACTGTGAAGATTGTTTGGTATTTTGGTTAAGAATATGTCGAGAATGTCTGGGTTTTTCCTTCGGGAGGTGGGCCAGTATGTTGGCGAGGGCGGAGCATGTATTTTGTAATTTCGTAATTGCGCTAGGGTGTTAATGGTATTTCCACGAGGGTTATTTGCGCGGCAGCCCCATTGTGTATTTTTAGCATTTATGTCGCCTCCGAGAATGAATTTTTGGCCAAGAGAGTCGAAGAAGTTTTCATATTGGGTTTTGGTGATTGTGTGGCGTGGCGGGCTGTACTCTGCATGGATGTTTATGGGAATATTGTTGAGTGTTGTGCGGATACCACACGATTGCAAGTGATCTGTTTGATATGGTGGCAGGGGATAGAATAGCAAGGATGTTCTTATTATAATAGCAGCTCCTGCGTGAGCAGTGCCATCTGGGAGATTGGTTTTAATAATATTAAAACCTGGGAGATTGAGGTGAGATAAGTGCGTAAAATGCGTCTCAGATATTTAGGCGATATCTATTCTATTATTTTGTAGGATGGCTAGTATCTCGTCTCTATGGTTTGTTAGACCATTTGAGTTCCAAGTTAAGATGAGGAGGGATTTTGAAGTTGTTTTATTAGTAGGCATTTTTATTGAGGAGACTTGAGATAAGAGTGGTGAGAAGAGAGATAAGAGGATTTATGATTGATTTAAATTCTTCTATGAATTTATAAAAGGATTGTTCGTTATTATTTGTTGGAGCCGGGATATTATTGGGAGGAGGGTGACCCTCTGTTACATTTGCGTACGTACGTTGATTTGGTAGGTAGGTGTTCTTTATTTGATTGTTGGGGCTGGGGCTGGTGTGTAGAGTTGAAGTTGAATGGCTGCTGGAGGCTAGGTTTTATACTTGAGATGTTGGGACGTCTTTGGGATAGTTGTTTGTATATGGTGCATCCCCTGTAGTAAGCAGGGTGTGCTCCTTCGCACAGGGCACATTTTGCTGGGAGGTCTGGAGATTTTTCACAGGAAGAAGTGGGATGGTCGTTTCCATATTTGACACACTTTGGGTTGTGAGCGCAATATTTTCTAGTGTGGCCTTATGACTGGCAGTTTTGACACTGAGGGATTTGGCGTTTTTTATGAGGTTCTTCTATTTTTACTTTTGTGTGAAGTAATGTAGTGATGGAGAAGATATCACTGTCGCTTCCTTGTGGATCGAGGTCGGCGAAGAACATGGGGAGTGGAGTTTTTGTTTGGGCGTGTTTAATATTAATCACGTTTCTGACAGAGTGTCCTATCTCTTCAATTGCTGATGCTATGTCAGTTGTTGGGGTGGAGGGGTGAAGATTTCTGATGACTATTCTGAGTGGTTTATCAGCTTGGAGTTGATAGGTGTGAAATTGTGCATTGATTCCTTTTAGAAAGTGGATTAGTTTTCTATAGCTGTCAGGGTTATTTGTTTGAATTTTTAGGTAATTTGAAGTAGATTTGCACGAGAAGCTAGTTGGACCGATTTCTTCGATGAAGCTGTTCCTTAGTTGAAGAAAGTCAATTACGCCTTTGATAAATATAGGTGGAGGCAACATTTCTTTTGGTGTATCATTTGTGGTATGTATTTGCGCCGGATTTTGATGGTCAGGCGATTTATTAGTATTAGTGTCGTCGGCGATAATAGGTTCCCGAGTCATCTTGCGTGAGAATTGAGTAGCGGTTGGGGGTAACGAATTTCTTTGATTTATTTATGTTTAATGTTGTAGGTGATTGTGGCGGTGAAGTAGATAGTGAGCGCTTTTTCGATTTTACTTTATTATTTTTGTCCGTTGATTTAATGATTTTATTGTCAACAATTTTAATTGGGGATACGGTCCGGTTGTTTATCTGCGGCATAATGACGCTATCTTATCGACAGTCCAAAGGTTACCGAGGGAGCGATGCCTGCGGCTGGTTGCATAAGTATCGTAATGTATAAGAGGTGAATAATATTTTTAATATTATTTTAGTAAGAAAATTAAAGTATATTACCGTGCTGGTGGGATGTTGTTGCAGGATACATCCGAGAATGGTGAGGATTTTTGAGTAGCGTGAGTTCGATACTAGATATAATGTTTTCCGTTTGTATTTGTTAGAGATACGAGGATAACCATCGAGCGTTGGATAAATGCGTGCGCACAGTCGGACTGTCCACGCGGGAATGATACTGCAATATGATGTAGATTTTAATATTCAAAAAAATTTTTTGATTGTGCAGGGATTTATATTCAAAAATGTATTTGCCACTTGCTCCATTTATGCGCCAGCCCTGCATGCAAAGCTTTACCACGCACTTGTGAAGACCTTGCCAGGGACATTTATAATTATTTCAAATCAAGCTGTAAAAGAGTAAGTCAATTTAAGCAATTTCAAGACTTTTGGAATATATCACCTCACAAAATTTTAATACCAGCACAGACCCGATGGCTTTTATTGAGTATGGTAGTAAATAGAATAGTTGAGCAATGGCCTGCACTAAAATTATTTTTTTCATCCCATTGGATTGAGGATAAACTCAAAGCTTCAGAAAACATTTTTCATGCTTTACTTGATCATTCTGTATTAAATTATTATAAATTCCTACAATGGATCCTTCCAAAATTTGTAAACCTCAATAAATTGTTTCAGAGTGACAAACCAGTTATATGGTTGGTTTTTAGTAAAATGTCCGTAACTTATACTGATGTACTTTATTCGTATATGAGACGGTGTAACAATCCTTTATCAGTCGATCCAAACAATTCCTCATACTTTCTACCATTAAACCAAATGTATTTAGGAATTGACGTTATGAATATGTTACAAACACTAGAAGTTGCAAAGAACCATGTTATGGTGCAAGATATCTTAGAGCACTGCAGGAGATTTCTAATTATTAGTATTAAGGAAATAAGAGCCTGATTCAATTTCAATGACCCAGTATTAATGCAATTAGAAAATATTACACCTTCAAAAGTCCTTAGCGATAAACGACCAGCTTCTCTAATTAGTTTTATTCAGTTATTCCCTAGAATTAAAAAAAATTACCAAAATATTGATACCAGCTGGAGAATGTTCAGTGTTATAGAGTTTGGTTTCGAATTACATGGCATTTCATTTAAATTTAAATGTTGAAGACTTTTGGATTAAACTTAAGATATTTGAAAAAGATGGTGAATATCCATTTAAAGATGTTTCAAATTTTTTATTAACTGTTCTGTCTTTGCCTCAATCGAATGTGTCGTGTGAACGCATGTTTTCTAAAATTAATTTAATTAAAATCAAAGAAAGAAACTGTTTAAACACCAAAACTTTAAATGGCATTTTGAGTGCCAAAGAAAACACCAAAAAAACTATAAAAAAATACTATAACACTAAAAAAAATAGAAATAACAAAAACTATGCTGGGCATGATAAATTCTACTATGTATAATCACATAAACAATGATACTGAAAATAGTATTGAATTTGTTTATGACTGAGAAATATATATTTAATAAACATGTTTTACCTACTCGGCTAAATTAAGTAAGTCCATGTGTATTATATTTAAAATTTTTATATTCAATTTGTTGAAGAAGGTTATTTATTTTTTATTTTTGTTATATATTGTATTAATTTTATGTTTTAAATATTTATAAATATACCTAATATAATACCTATAACAATATTATTATTATTTTATAATATATGGTAATATATTATTATATAATATATGGAAATATATTACCATATAATACCTATATCTAAACTCAGTAATTGATTATTGAGACAAGTTCTTTACTGACATTGTCCTATTTTGATTTATAAAATAAATCCGTGTATATTTACTTGTTAATTTAAACCACGAACAAAAATTATTTTACTAAAATATTGTCATATTGCAGTAGCCAGTTATACAATATCAACTGATTACAAAAAATAAAATACCCATAGATCTCCCGGAGTTATGATAAGGAATGTGATAATCAAAAAAAAAAAAAATTATAAAGTACCTACTTGTCTTCTTATCTATCTCAGTGTAATTGTCACATCTACGATCTCGTAATGCACCACTAGTTTTTAAAAGTGTATAGATTATTCTTATTATCATATTTGTTATTACACAAACTGTGCAGTTTATACATATTTTTATACATGCTAATTCTGCATTAGGAATAGGCTATGTGTAACGTTTATATTAAGTTTTTTTTTTGGTACAATCTTTTGGGTAAAATTACGATTTTTTAGAATTTTTCCCCCATTTTTCGGATTATCAAGTTTGGTAGCACTGGTATATGTGTTCACTTTTCGATCAGTGTTCGTATGAGCGTTATTGGATCGCGTTATTTTCGTATTGTGTCCGTGTGAGTAGTGTAGTTTGTATAATATAATATTGTTAACTATTTAAATATGCCCAAAGTAGCTCACACAAAATGGTCAAAAGTTAGTATTTATTTGGAAGAATTTCTGAATGAAACTTTTAGGAGTGATGGACAAGTTTTATACTGTCAGTCTTGTGATAAATCAGTATCTATCGACCAAAGTGGTCATGTTATTCAGCACATCAATACCAGTAAACATAGAGGCAATAAAGACAGAAAGCTTATATTTCAATAAAATTTTATTTCTACATCATCCGCATCTATCAATAGTAAGTCAGTTTTTAATGATGATTTGTGTCGTGCACTAATACGTTCAGACATTCCTCTTTTTAAATTGAAAAATGTTGCATTTAAAAATTTTATGGAAAAATATACTGGTCATAAAATTCCCGACGAGAGTACACTTAGAAAAAATTATGTTAGTGGGGTGTATGAAGAAACTATTTCGAAAATTCAAAATATCATTGGAGATGGCCCTATTTAGGTTGGAGTAGATGAAACAGCAGACGCCGACGGTCGATATATCGCAAATGTTACTGTAGGAAAATTGAGCACTGAACCATCTAAACCATTTTTATTGTGCTGTGAAGAATTAGATAAATGCAACCACAAAACTATATGTCAATAATGCAATGGGTGTTTTGTGGCCGAATGGTATAATACAAAATAATGTACTTTTACTTTTAACGGACGCCGCGCCGTATTGTGTAAGGCGGAAAAAGTGTTGGACACATTTTATCCAAGAATAATACATTTAACTTGTCTAGTACATGGTTTTCATCGTATAGCTGAAACAATTAGATTTCAATTTTCAGAAGTTGATTCATTAATTTCCAACGTAAAAAAAATATTTTTAAAAGCGCCAAGTCGTATACAAACATTTAAAGATTTGTACCCGGATTTAACTGTACTTCCCGAGCCTATTATAACTCGATGGGGTACGTGGTTATCAGCTGTATTATATTATTCAAATAACTTTGAAAAGATTAGAAACGTTGTCTTTAATTTAGATTCCGAAGCTGCAATGGTAATAAAAAAAAAACTGTTGAGCTCATAGACAGTAAAAATTTGCAAAACAATTTAGCATTTATTTCGACTAATTTTGGATTTTTGGTTGATACAATTTCAAAATTAGAAACTTCTAAAATGCCACTAACGGAGAGCTTAGAAATATTTGATAATGCCATAAAGCAATTAGAACGGGTTCCTGGAGAAATTGGAGTTTTGACCAATTCAAAATTAAAAAATGTATTGGAAAAAAACACAAGTTTTAATACTGTAATGTCAATAAGAGACATACTATTAAACAAAACTCCAAATAATAATTATTCAGAAATTGAATACACTCCAAAAGAAATAATGTGTATGAAATATGCACCTGTCACGTTCGTTGATGTGGAGAGGTCATTCAGCCGTTACAAAGCAATGTTAAGACCGAACCGCCGCCACTTTACATTTGAAAATTTCAAGCTATATGTTGTTTTTAACTGTTTCCCACATGAAGACTATGATGATTCAGAATATATTTTTAATTTTTTTATATTTTTTAATTAACTATTTAATAATTCTATGTTATTTTCAATTTAAATATCTAAATATTATAAATTTATAAATAAATATTTATTAAGTAATAAACAAATATATATTTAAATATTTTAAATTTTATACTAAATTAAAATCCATTCCCTAGTCATGATTATATATTATTGTGGTCCAATAGTATTTTCAGGTGTCATAAGGGTGACTCCGTGCAACCCATTAGTTTACGCCATTAGAGTATAATGATTTAAAAAATATTATATTGGTTGGTAGTTATTGCGGAAAATATTTAATGTTTTTTTTAAATCATTACTTATTATATTATAAATATTTAATATTACCTCTCCGATGATTGTGTCAACCTGCCTGTTGAAAACCGTGGTTGACGTTTGAGGAATAAGATAAGGTAACCAATTCGTACTTTAAAATATTAATAACTTTTTCTTTTACTCACTTTTAATAATTTTATTCAAACTTCTTTTTACACGCATTAATACACGTATTTAAAATGTTTACAGAACGTTTTACAACTAATTATGTCTTTCTGCATAGACAATCTGTGTAGTCTTTTACACTCGTCTTTGACCGTCTATACAAAAAGGCGACAAGAACACGTCTCTGCTCTTAACTAAAAAACTATACTCCTTATATATGATGTGTATGTGTGTGTGCGCGTGTATGTGTGTATATGTGTGTGTATAATAATATCTTATCTGTAATACTTACGACTTATTATTATATTTAATAACTATCAAATATTATAATTATTTAATTATACATTAAATTTTAAAAATTATATAAATGCTTAGGCGCATATCATTACAGGAGTATGATAAATAAAAATACATGAGTACTTATTTGTTGTACGTAAAACTGTATGATTTTAGTTCGAACGCCGAATTCGATACACATCTTTTAATTTTTTAATTCTTAACATCAAACAAGGAACAAAAATCAAACTAATAATTTTCATTCTATTTCCATGGGTTTTAAAGTACACACGACAGTTTTAAACATCAGTGTACAGTATTTGTTATATTTCTGTAATTCGAACATGGTACACCGATCGTACCTATACCGATTATAAAATAATTTTCTGATCGCAAAATCGCCTAACACATTAATGCCTACTCGTATAGAAACAACTATTCATTTTCATCTTATAAATGTGACAGTAAATTATAAAAATTAATTATGCAAAAACTGATTATAAAGTACACATATAGCTTATCCAAATACGCAAAATAAGTCCAAGTACGCTTTAGTGTTTTAAGATATTTATGTTGAGTATCATGATCAATATTCGATTAATACGCATTATTACTTTATACTTTATTCGTTATTTGTTTATGTTGTCTTACAAAATACATACTAACTAATTCTAATTTATTTTCTATTGTTTGCAATCCTGTAAAATCATAAACATTCATATTTCTTGTTACATGTTTTCAATATATCAAATATTATTAGTTGTTTACAGGAATATATTTGGTTATTCTAAGTTTATTAGGAAAATTTGCACATCAACTGAAGAAACGTTATCAAAATGGACAACTAGAACAACCCGCTTTAACATTATATAATTGAGATATGCGCTTTATTTTAAATATACCTAATAGCAGAACCAGATTTAGTGACAAGCTACTGTCAAAATTGGGCCGGTGGCCTAAAAACTGAGCTGTTATTAATTTCGGTCAAAAACAATCTAGCCTCTCTTTAAAGTGGTACTTATAATTTTTAATTTGTATAAATGTTAAATATAATACAAATTAAAGTTAATGTTCTGTATTAAATTATAAATGTGACCTATTATGTAAATAAATGGACGATATGAATCAAATTGGATGTTAAAAAATGTGTTGAAAGCTCGACTAGTGGTGAGAATAATATGCATGGACAGTGTAATAGATTTACAGAGAATGTTTAAATAAATAAATATAAATTGCTATACTCATTCGTTTACAAACTTTAGACTTTATAAAAAAAAAAAAAATGGTAAATGTAAAAATTGAATTACTGTTTTAGATAAATAAATCATAGTTGTATTCCAATCAGATTGGGACTTTTATTGTTATTTTAAAATATTTAAAAATTATATACATTATTAATTAACTTATAAACACAGAAACAACCATGATTGACTTAATTTTTAATTAAATAATTATTAAAATATTTTTATTTAGTAGTTATGTATGTACTAATAGTTGTTATAAGACTCTTGTCTCCACAACAAGCCTAGCTTACGGAGACAATCATGTATTAATATTATGTTTTAATAAATGTAAATATTTAATATTAATTTGCATGTATTATGTCATCAAGCAACTTATTTTAAAATACATATTTTCCCAAACGTCAATACGTAAAATAAAAAAATTTAAATTTAAAATGAACCTAACTTAAAAACTTAAACTAGTGTTTTAAAGTATAATATACTTTATAATAGTATATAATTATAATATATTTTTATATTATATTATATATATTTAATACGGGATATTATTATAGTAAAAACATAAGGCATTTGCTGTCTGGATAGGTTATATTCTTATTTTGTATTTTGTTAGATATTTCATTAAATTGTTAATGATTTAAATAATTGAATGTATTTAAAAATTATACGTTACTGATTTTATAAATATCTTACATCACATAGATATAAATTCTTAAAAATTATTTATTTTCTGTACGTTCTGACACCTACCTTACATAAACAAGAGCGATATGTTAACTTTTCCTTACAAGTAATAAACGATGGGCTACTATTTTGTACAATGAATCTCGCTACTAGTGTAGTATACAATTGAAATAATATTACAAAATTGAACATCGTTTGTCAGATACAAGATTTATACAAGTGCATAGCATTTTATGTTTTTAGAAAAATCAATAATCTTTTTTATTCAAAACTATAAGTTTGTGTTTGAGAAACTAATGCCGATATCAAGTAATGTATTTACGGACAATTATTTCAACGCTTTTGACTTGATATGTACAAATCTTTTCAATCTTAGCATAAATATTCATAATATTAATCATTATTCATCCTCCATAGGTTTGTTTTACAATACTACATTTGTTCACCGTCATTATAACAATATTATTATCGTAATACTCTGAAGAAAAATATGCTTCAACATTGAGTATACTATTCAGGCATGACGAGTATACATCAAGTAACGTCAATAATTGATCCAAAAAGACAACAGTTGTCTGAAGTCATAGTTGAACAGATGCGATCGGACAATCGTCATAAGGTCAGCAGAGACGAGTAGTCATCATAACAGTGTTCACAAACATAATTTATAGTTTCGAATACGTCATGTATTAAAAAAAAAAAAAAAAATTATATAATGTTACAGGCTTATCATAGTATCGTAATATCATTGTTGGATCGTTCACTTAAAACGTCCAGTGTTGGTCACAATAAATAATAATAATAGTAATATAAAATTTTAAACATTTTAGAGATTATACATAATAATATCGTTTTTAAACAAGTTACAAATGTTTATCTTTGGTTTGTTTATGAATACAATACAATTAATGTTTTACAATAATAGGTAACCAAATATATGGAGTCCGAGCATCACCTTGATTAAGCATTGAGTAATTGAGTACGTTAAATATAATTGTATGCATATATAATAACAAAACGTAGTATAATATTATAATTGTTATAAATACATTAAGTTTTTCAGGTGCTGGCAAAGTTACAACATTGCAGTGTAATGCAAACGTTAAACAGTTTATGCGTTTCGGACGTTGCAGCAGTGTTTTAGCTACATAAAATATAATATATGTTAATTTTCAAATACTTCAATTATAGCATATAACAATAGTAGATACGCAGTAAAAAGAAAAAATTAAAAAAATATTATAATATAGTACATTGGACGGCTGCGGCGAAAGTGCGGATGTATACACGCATATGTATAAACACACGCGTTTAATAATAATATTCCGAGTCGACGTTACGAAATCTTGGTTTATAATATAACTATATTTTAGAATATCATCGTGTGAGAGATGAAATGGAAAAAAAAATTAAACGACGGCTATACATCGACTTGAACGACAATGGTCCGTACACGTAAGGATTATTATTGTATCGTTGCACAGGATCACGGTTTTCTTGTGAACTGCTGCGTAGCATAGTATTGATCACACGCGTATCCGGAGTTTTAAGGTTTTTGCGAGAGAAAAAAAAAGTAAAAATATATAAACGAAATGAAAAACACAAATATTAAGATAGTACAATACGATTTCCTGATGATGAAATCACGTGAACGCGATGTTCATATTGTTATGCTAATGTTGTGCGAGACTCAAACGCAAATCGGAATAACACTATAATATAAATACGAGTACGTAATAAATAACCATTGCATACGCTTACGAAAAACGTGCACAATATAGGCGTGTGTATACGGGTAGTGTGCCTTTCGCGCACAGGCATGGCCTGCAAAATTTGACTTTAATTCTATATTATCAATTAATGAGTATATATATTAATAATGCTATAAGGGTTAAAATTATGATTCCAATGAAACGACTTTAGAATTACCGTAAGAATCAAATACATTTGTAATCACATCTGCGTACGAATTTTTCAAACATAATAATTTTTTACAAGTATATTTTCTTCCCCTTGATATCGCATTCGTGTATTTGCGCCGTGCACGTTCGGATAAAAAGGTCTTAAAAAGGACATGCATGTGGTACACAATGGACGTATCGGTTAATCCGTTAGGGCTAGGTGTAAAACGGTTTTCGTAATATCAATCACACGTAAATCTAATGCGATATTGTACGATGGGTGGTTTTACGAGGGTTTAGTGGGATGACGACGGTACAATAAAAAACTGTACGTGCTGGTTCGGCAATAATAGGTGTGTAGTGGGAGACGCACAGTAACGGTAATAATTATAATAATAATAACAATAATAATAATTACAATAATAATAATGTATTAACCCTCCGCACGACACTCGGTAATAGTTGAGGGGGGGGGGGTAGTAGCTCATTAGGAACTGCGAGTAGTTTGCAAAGCTTGCGACACGGTGTCGATTGGTCGGGTCGCCTAACGTGTGCCCGGAGAGAGCTGGTCATCATCACGGGCCACCGCGTTTCCGAGCAGGTCGAAGTCTGTTCAGCAGCCCTGACACGCTCGACCGCGACCACAGTCACCCGTATGTGGGGTCCACGGTGAGCGACATGCGCTGGCCACGGTCCACCCAGTTCTTGAGCCGGCCCCGCAACTCCTCCAGCGACTTGGACTTGGCCTTGTTGATGCGCTTGTACTTGACGTCTTTGGGCTTGGTTACCGACCGGTGGTTGCTCATCACCCGGTTGTATGTGGTCGCGGTCACGTTCCCTCCCCGGCCATCCGCCGCCCTAGCCACCGCAGCCACCGCCGCCACCGCCTCCTCATCCGAATCGCGGCACTGCTGCTGCTGCTGCCGGTGCTTCCGCAGTAATGCTGGCGACGGCGATGGTGGTCGTTGCTCGGACGTGTCCACCTGACTGTTGCCCGACTCGTCCTCCTCCATGATGACCGCACTGTCGCTATCATCCACGTTGCCGTCGTCGCAACCCGGGCCACAGCCGGCCACGCAACCACCCGGGCCATCGGCCACAGTCAAGCCGAAGTCGGCCAACCGAGAGTGCAGACACCTGATAACGTGCTGTTGCTGATCGATAATGCACTGCCGGTACTCCAGCAGCTCGCCGATGGCCCGTTGCTTCCGGGTGAGTCGCGCCTCGAACAGCATCAGGTTGGACGTCAGTGATTCCAGCCGGCTCCCATACTCGGCCCGCATCTGCGCTTGCCTATCCTCCTGTAACAACAACAACGTGAACGATAAAGCAACGTACCCAGATACACGCGACATCACCGCTCCCACCCTCAGATAGATACAGTCGCCGCGAATGGACCAAAAGTGTTACCAAAAGCACCCCTTTCGATCCATGCGTGTTTCACCTCAGAGATTACGTTTTACCAGGTTAGGTATTCCCGGTAACAATGTCCTAACGTAGCGATACCCAAACTTTTTTTCTCTCGTTGCTTTTTTTTAGACCCAATTTAGCCATGGTGCCCTGTTATGAATACCACGAAAGACAGAACAAAAACAAATACTTATAGAAAACTAATTTTATTAATTTTTTAAAAATTTGATCATAAATGAATGCATTATTAAACTTAATAAATAATTAAATAAAAATTATTTTTATTATCATTGTAATTATTACATATAAATATTAGAAGTTTAAGATGAGATTGTCCGAATGAACAATAGAAAATATTACATTATTTGCTATAAAGTTTTTACGAAAATAACAAGGAAAAAAAATTCTATATATTTTAAATTAATTGTTATGAACCGTAGACCACGGTACCTTTAAAAAGTGCACAATTTGAGAACCGCTGTCCCAACGTATTGATGCTCATCCTCCGTATTCTAATCCCAAGAAAATCTTTCCCGCTTGACCTCGGTAAGGGGAACGGTATTTTTCACGGCCTACGGTTTTGCTAACAAAACCCGCTGCTTCCCAAAGAACCGGATATATCGTCGCAGGGACCTAATTTCGAAATATAACGCTCGATACGATGAAAAAATATATTATGATGTTCGTTCCGTGTATCCCAGGCAAGTACTTTTCGAACCTGTAAGTTCAATGAACCAGATAGGTAGTGAAAACCGTAAGGTCTCAAAGATTGTGTTATAAACCAAAAACGACATTTGGAAAAAATATCACTGAATATTTTATAATGATGCTTAATGATATTATATTTCAGAATGTTTTCCACATTTCGCAGTTGTGTTTACTACTAAAACATTACGTTCTAATAGCTATCGTTGAACAGGTTACTTGATTACTCGTTACATTTTACCCGGGGAAAATAAATAAGGTTAAACACTTAAACGATTTATCAGAAACGTGGCGTGATATCGTGGAATTGTTAGGCAAACGAACGAAAAGTATACGATAGGTAATTATATGGTATAATATTAGAGTTGATGGTTGATAGTACGAGAGAGAAATACCAGAAAAGATGAAATAATAATATAAAATGCTGATTTTTTAAGTATTTTTTACTAAAATAAATAACTGTATTAATATTGATTTATCTGTCACTTAAAAAAATATTAGTTTTCAGGTATGAATAACAAAACATTCTTATAGCGTTACGTAATGTATCATCGGTAGTTCGGAGACTTTCTGCTTCGTAAATACAATATATTTAATGTATGCATACATCGTAATTGTTCATACACATATTCAACATTCTGAGAAAATTTCTATACACATATTATATTATGTTAATCAATTAACAACAAAAGTCCTTCAATAGCAATGAAATAATAACTTTTTCCATATGAAATCTCCATAATAGAATTTTTAAAATTCATCAACAAAAATATCATTCCGCTGTCGTTACATGACTCGTTTCACATACTTGTTTAGGTAAAGCGTAGAAATCGTTATCTTACGCGGTTTGTATATTTTATTTGTACATATTCTGAGTGAATCTTCTTTTCATTCCATCGTTATATAATAACGACGCATTATTAGCAAAAAGAAAAAAATGTATATTGTTTAATACATGTTAGAAAACAGGAAATTTGACGCATTTTAAAAGTAATTCAAGTCGATCGATCCTATTAAGGTAATGCGGGTAGTAAATAGGATCAGAAATGACTGAATATGGAATGGATAAAATGAAATGGAAGAAAAAGCAAACTAAAATTAACGAGAAGACTATCACACGCGGTCTGGTGTCAGACGACGCCGGTAGGAATGACTCTTTAATGAATAATAGAGGAGAGAAGATCGATGAAAAATATAATTGTATAAATACATAGTATTTATAGTCAACGGTAATATTAATAATGCAACGGAAAAACAACGCAACAGTACTATATTATATACGGACGACGATGAATCACATGATGATATCGCCGTGTTGCGCGAACGAGAGCGGCGCACCGAACCGAATTCGATTTGCGGCGTTGATCAAGATGGATCGACACTAGTCGTCGATTATACTATAGCAATAGTAATTATCGTTATTCTCAGACTTTCCGTTAGATCAGCGAGCCTGTTTCCCCGGTCGTTTATTGCCGAGATTTATTATTTTTTATTTTGTACTTCGTCGAGACGGAAAAGCGCGAGGTAATGAATCCAAATTACTTTTCGAAAAGTTTTTTTTTTAATTCTTATCTTGCGTTTATTTAGTAGGTCTGCGGTGGGGTCCTAACGGTACCGTCTTTGGCAGCCGTTTCGGTTCGCATAATACTACGCGTACGTATAAAACACTTACATATCATTATTATTACTATTATTACTATATTAACGTGATGTATCGTATTATATTGTTATAAACCTACTTAGTTTTGAAATGCAAATAATGTAATTAACTCGTGTTTAACGGATTTGTATAAGTATAAAAATGTACTCGGCGAATAATGATATACTATGGTCGGTAACGTTGTGATACTTGTTATACCATTATAAGAATATACTTTTAAAGTCGTCGTTTGTCGTTTTGAAAAATATGAATTTTAATCTATAAACGTAATTCAAATACCTCTTACTTACTCATTGACCAAAATTTCCATACCGATTCATTTGAAATGCCGAGATAATATATTTTTTACTATATACCTGTATATGTACACTAAGAAAATAATTTTCGAAGATCGCATTTTTAGGGTAGAATCAGTTTTGAGTATTAAGCTAGATTGTAATGTAAACCAATAAATTTGTAATCCACTGATGTATGCCACGGGTACATCATGTAGTTATCAAAAAATACACACTTTTCCGAAACATGTATTCGCAACAACACGTTGCAACGAAGCGAAATTCCCGTAGGCGTCCACATGATATTCACATATAATAAAATTAAAAATACATTTATACAAATACATGTTGATTACCATAGGTAAAGGATCTATTACAGATACTGTATATACTGTTTGATCGTGATTTTTTGTTTTTCATAGCACTGAAGGACAAAAGTTAATTATTATAAATTAAACTTGCTGTAATAATAATTACGAAATTAATCGATAAAATAAAACCACTAGAGTAAGTACGATTCATGATATATTTTCGGTGTGTGTGTGTGTGTGTATGTATTTGAATTTATAAATAGGTATATAGAATATTCTTGAAGCCGATATTTTTTGTACGTGGCGACCTCGGAAGGGTACACGATTTTCCCAATAAGAAAAAGTACAGATAATAGACCGGACATTACAATATTAAAATTGACGCTGGCGCCTGTGAATGTTGTGCCAGTGGCAGCGCCCGCCTTGAACTTGTCGTGGCGTAGGTTAAACGCATTTCACCACGAACGAATGGAGGAGATATAGCAGCGAAATATACAGTAAAAATATATAATAAATAGCAGCGAGTATATCTGTACTGTGCCCGTGGGGTATAGTGTCAATATTATCATAGTAACGGCGGCTGCGCGCGGGATACGTGAGAGATTTTACGTCATCGGTTGATGCCATAATGTTATTATTGTTATTGTTATTAGCACAGGCGGTCGACCTTAAACGCCGCGAGACAAGTCGGACCTTAGATTATTGATTCGCGAAAAAAAAAATAAAAATATCAAACAAAAAAAAGGGAAAATTGTCATTTTATATCGTAAGTAAATTGTTTCTCTCCGGTTTCGAGTTTTTCCCGATCGGTATAATAGTATAATAGAACGCACTGTGCAACATGTCCGTTTCATCGTTTTCGTCAGAAAAACCTACGGGCCCGATACAAACTATATACGTATGCCATGTGTGCGCACCGAAGCCCAAGGGAGTGTTGGTCTTGGTATGAGAGGCTGTAGAGAGACGCAGAGACGTACTAATGATTTTTCCTAGGAAAACATAAAAAGATACTAATCAATACTCTAGTAATATAATTTATACTTATACACTTATAACTATAATTCGTTCAAGATAAATATAATAAAGATAAAATATTTATTTCTGTTAATACTTTTGAGAATTTTAAATATTCATAAAATATAAAAGTGATATTGCGATGACAAAATACTCATAAAAGTTTGAAAAAGATGCTCTGATTGGAAAGAGATCTAATATTCGTTACTGGTCATCGATCGAAATGAGATCACGTACTTGGATAAACTTTCTTAGAAAGCATGCTTACATTATGTTATACTAAGTTCTTGTAATGGAGTTGAATGTACATTTCAAACATGCAGAATAATAAAACAGCGATTCTTAAAATACGATTATACACCCTTCTACCCATAAAAAAAAAAAAAATAATAATGTTATTATATCCCGACTTTGTACGCTAAAAATCCATTGGGCTTTATTATGGCCCATTTACGCATAATCCACACCGTTGTTCCACCTGCCTCAAATAATATTATTTCAATGACTACGTGGACCACACTCAGTATATTCGATTATATCTTCCATTCGCGTGCCGTACGTTTGAAAAAAGGAATCCACTCGTTTCCGACTGTATCATTGCTTGTGTAGTATATTGTTCTGTTTGCACTGGATATACATCGATAATATAAATATAACGAACTGATAGGCCACGTATCTAGTGCGTGTCAACCGCATTTGAACCAGTTATTCGGTGTAATCACGTTTATGCGTGTACGGAGAGCTCAATGGGTATAACACGATTGCATACGTTTGTAGATTGGTAACAAAAAGGTGGGTAAGAAAAATAAATAACCACGATTGCGTATGAAATTGTATGCAACATTATCAAATTTACTGATTTTACCGAATTATATCTAATAAATATAGAAAAATAAATAATAAATACATGTACAGTTCTATAATAGTTCATAAAAAAAAATTAATAATAAAATAATAAATAGAATGAGGATAGCTAAATAAAAGAAAAGTAATTAATAAATAAATAAAATCAACAGTTTTTATTTGAAGGAAATTATTATTAATAAATTATTTTAAAATGCTTAAATTTGGATTCCTAACATCTATAATATACTACTTTTACTGAAACTCGGAAAATACCGTATAATATAACGGAAGTAACAAAATTTCGTTATACCTGATATATTTGATATTACTTACAATAAACATAGAAATAAAAGCAATAAAACACAAAGCATTTATTAAATTTTTTAAGTTATCTTGTATAGGCATGTGGTATATACCAATATCTATATGAAAATTGGCATCAAACTTTAAATCTTCGTACGCAATCGTGTAGTTAAAAATCAGGTGGTAAAATCGTACGGAATCATGTAGCTTAAAAAGGTATCACCGATAACGAACGTACGCAATCGTGTTTTACCCGACTCAATACAGTCAAACACTATCTTTAGGTAGGACTACAACGGTTGCTGTTCAAAATAGGAGCATGGAAACTACGAGTTATCTGAAACTGTATTGAATGTATAGGATAAGTAAATCAGTAAAATTATAAATGCAATAGTATTTTCTAAAAATGAAAATAAAACTAAGAACAAAAATAAATATTTGCCTAGCGAACCCCGAGCCAGTTAGTATTAATTTCTCGAAAGACCATCAATTCTTGGATCCCGCGCTGCAGAGTAAACGTACTGAATCGAATTCGATATCTAGTCTAACAAATTTACAATTTTGTTAGCTGAAACATATTTTCAACGCAACATGTTAACAAAATGTGTAAACCCTTCGGGTAGTTTGTTATTAGGTAATTCATTTAATTCATTCTTTTTTTTTCATCGGAGCGATGTGCGACTGCAGCTAGTATAAGTATATTGAACTCGGTAGTTTCTGTTAACTCAGGTATGATCTGCTAGCTATACATTCTGATTGATAAATATGTGCAACTTCAGAAAATAGAATTATATTACACAAACAGTTTGTTCAATCGTTATACATTTGGGAATTTCGTAATCACTTATTGCAAATGAAAAAAAATTAATTTTTAAAATAATACAATAATGTAAATCTAAAATGAAATGGTTAATCCAATAGTAAATTATCCATTCAAGAATTCTGTTCGAGTTATAATAATTCAAAAATAGTTGAATACATATTTAAATATTATTTTTTATTACTTTAGTAGTACTAAACAATACTATTCTACTATGTTTTATTCGATTTATACTAAGGACTTGCTTTCATTAATTAATCAGTAGTTATGGATAATTTCAATTAGAAAATTAAATCAAAGAATTTTAAGAAAAATGTACTTTATTAATAAATATTAAAAAAATAATTAGAAAATTATGAGAAGATTTCATGACAAGATCTAATTGAGATTTCTGTCTCATTTGCTAACTCATGAACAGTTAATTTACGGTTATTTCGCATTTTTTCGTAAATTTTTGCCACATCATCGGATCTCAACAGTCTTCCAAAACGTGGACCATCTTCAGTTGACTGTAGACCATCCTTGAACATTTTAAATTACTCGAAAGCCATGAAACGACTTAATGAACTATCCCCAAAATCAGTTTTATTCATTACATATGTTTTTGTTGCATTTTACCAAGTTTCAAGCAAAACTTGATACACACATGTTATTCGTTAATTTCGGACATATCAAAAATGGCGCACGAAAGTGACTGACTAGATTTAACCACGCTTAATATTAAACTGTGATATGATAATGATTTCGGTTTTTTTTTTAAATATTTACTAGCACGTGGGGTATTTATTTATTTATAATTTAAAAGATTATCATGTGTATATTAGCTGTAACAACATTTGTCCTGGTACTTTTTGAACAGATCTCGTACATCGAATAAAATAAAAATATAGGAGTGATATTAAGTAAATGAGCAATGAGGAAAACATTATTATTTTGTATAATAATATGTTATTGATGAAAACCCTTTTTTATAGGCGAGTAAATTAAAGACCTATAATACAACGATATACTTGTCCCATTTTCTTTTTGTTTCAAAAATCCAAAAATACTCAATTCGACCCCGTTCGACTCGACTTATACCTGCATTTTTGCTCTATTCCTCCACATCAATGTCTGTTGCGCCTGAAACCGGCACCTATCCTTCAGCTGTTTGATCACTTTCCGAGCCTCTTCTATGGTCAGTATGTCGTCTTCTTCTTGCAACGGTTGAGCAGCTGTTAGATCTTCGACCGCTGGCTCCTCGACTGCGGCCGGTTGAGCTACTATTCCCTCGTTCAGGGCCATTCTGAAACTAAGCCCAAATGGTATAAGTTTACAAATACAATATATTATCAGAATACGACGTAGTATCCTACAACCTTTACACGTATTTCACCAGCATCCATTGTAGCTATATATTATCTAATGTGGTATTAACGGTATTACCTATACGTCGTACAGTTGTGTATCACGCGCGTGGTAATAACCGACACGCGCCGCTAATCGACACGAGACTAGTAAGGCGTTTTGGGTACTGCCTTAGGGCACCGGTCGAAATACACACCGAAAAATCGTTGCAAACGTAATAATGCGGTTTAACGCATGTTGGCGCGGAAATATACACGCGTTATGGTTATATTAGGACACATTGTGTCGAATAATTACACTAAGATACAACATATAATACAGCGGGCGTACGTTAGCTGCACTGTGACACATGCACCGTGGTCATTGGACAATGTTTTCGTATTATATTCTAACAAAAATAATTTACTGCATTATATACATATACTTTTAAAAGTTAATAATTAGCTAAATTTGATTGCGGTTAAAAATCGTATAACACTTTAAAATCTTTTAATTTTTATAGTTTTAACATGGAGGATATCGAAATACACAAAACGCCACCCATTTTCAACCTTAATTTTTATTATGGTGTACGAAACGCTATGTATGATATTCATCCTTTTGTTTCCTTTAATTTTTTTTTTTTTTTTTTTGTCAAATGATTTTTCTTTTATTTCCGGTGTTGTTAATTTATTTTTTCCGCGTCGGTTTCGGATCTAAATAAAACGATGATGATTATAATCGAATTCCGAAGGTGGCGCGGCGATTTGACGTAAATGTGCATTGCGCTTATTATTATTTCGAGTTTTTTTCTTTCTAAGGAACCGAAACAAACTACACTCTAATGGTGCATAAAACGAAAAAAAAAATTCTGTCTTCATGCTTTAATATGTACAAAACAGAAATTCTTTTTCGAGCGTCCAAATTACTGAGACTTTTTTTTCGTATATATTTGTGTTTGTGTATGTTCGTTTTTTACGTTTACTTTTCGTATTGAATGAAAATATATCGCCTAGACGATTATATGAGAGGATTTTTCATTGTTATAATTTCAAGGTCGTGGTTGTGGATGGTATATATATTATCCCATATAATATATACACAATCGTGAATATATATTTTATACTACATTTTTAATAACCTGCATAGCATTCGTGGCGAGTTACGGATATGATGATAGTATGACATAACAATGAGAAAACTCGAACTCGCGTACGGCCGCGACGGTGGCAGCGATGAAGAAATTAAAAACCCAGACAATGTAACGAAACCGCAGTGGAATCCCTGCAATAGGTAACTTGAAATGTTAAGTTCGAAATTTTCGATTGACCATGAAAAAATCGCTCCAAAATTTGAAATACATTCACGACCTTGATATACGCTTATATTTGCATATAATAAAAAATTAAAATGCACATTATTTTTGTTCTCGGACGTCAATAGAAGAACTATCGAAATCCTATTCTTGCAAATCGACTCGCGATTTACATGGTTATTGTGAGATTTCAATCGTAAGTCACACGTGCTAATTTATCATTACTATCGTTTGACATAAATGTGTCCACTTCGAACACCATAAGAATAGTGTACTTGACTGGTACGCGTGCAGCTTTGTATATCGTTTGCAGAAACGGACAGTCGTGTATCACGAATTCAACCCGTGTGCCCATATTATATATAATGTACGTATAGTCGCACTGTGCATCATATACAATCCACGGACGCTAATTTATGCAACATATAGATACGAAAACCAATTCGAATATCTTTTTCTCTCTCGCGCGCACTGAATTCAGGTCAAAACGAACACGCTGCGCCGTAGACTTTAACGACCGCTTGACATTTAAATCGACATGGCCGTCGAAACGTCAAATGCTCGTATAACATTATACCTGCACATATTATATATATCTACACCAGTTATTTGCGATATACGTAATACGTGAATTAGTAGTAGTAAAAAATATGTGTTCGTATTATAACTAAACACGCGTAAAGAAATAACACATTTGTGTAATATTCGTTTTTACGGTCGCGTTTTTTGGAAAAAAAACATCAACGAGATGATACTATCAGTTTACGATGGACTACTCGTATTTAAGCTAGTCTTACAACAATTTTGTTCGAAAAATACAACCATACGTTTCGTGTTTCGAATATTTTTTATTTTTTTTTTATTTTAAATACGTTAAGTGTAAATTGTTTATTTTGTTTTTTGTCTCTCCAAATGTATTTATTTTACTATATATATATATATATATTCAAATCCGGCAAAATATACGCATAGTGCCAATGTACTCTGCGCGTTATTATTATTTTCAATTTTTTTTTTTTTGACCACGTATTCGCCCGCGGTCATACGAGATTCTATTCGTATTCCCATGTACCTATATAATAATTTATATTCCCATATACATATTTATGCGCGCGTGAGGTACGCGTGTACACAGGCACCGCGCTTGGCGAACCACTGTACGAGCACACGCACGTGGTATGTATGTACCTACATACAACTCGACCTAAAAACAAATTCGATTAATGTACGGTACAGTTACCGCTGCATCGAATGTAGGATATTGTTTCGAATCAATTTACTGTTTTCTTATCATATCTCTTGAAAAAATCACTTATAGTACATATCAGTACGGAATAAAAACAGTTATAATGAACGATTTAAAAAAAAAAAAAATAATTATTATCATGTTCGTGTTGTAAAAAGTTGAGCTTATGATATTTGTTTCTTGACATGTGGTAAGCGCGGGATTACAATAAATAATAATTTTGTACTATATTGATATACCTGTACAGGCGCATGCTCAGCAGTGTCGCACTACTGTTGCCACAATACATGTACCACAATAGTAAATGGTTGAATTGTTATTATTATTTTATTATTACTATACTGCCTCCAATTGCATAAAAAGAAAAATAACACATACGCCTTGGTGTTAATACAATTCGAAAACCATATTTTTAAATTTAAAATGGCGTAACGCTGTCCGACGCCCGATTATAATACGTGTAGTCGTAGAAATAATGTTATTATACGTTTTAACGAATTAAATATAAATTAGATAGTAATAATAATAATTGCTCGTCAATCATAGCTACACCTGTTCCAATTTTTATTACGAGTAATATATTTATATAATCATACTGAAGTCGAGCATAGCATTTAGCGATGCTTTTAATTTATTATTATTTTTATTGACGTGCGATCATACAGAAGCTATCGTGTATAACTACTATAGTAATACGTTCGAAAATCCAGTTATGAGGTAGTTTACAAAAGTGTTGTCTCCACAATTAGAAGAAGTATATATTTTGTATGTAATTAATTATGTCTTACAATCATATTGTTGTCTATAATTCTTACGTAATGTTCTCATGCACTTATCTCAAAACAAAAGTTGAATGAAGAAAATTATGTATGTTTGTCGCATTTAGTAGTTTTACTCACATATATGTGATCATTATAAAATAATACAAAATATTTTATCTGAGCGCTTTTTACCCATATTGTATTCAGAAAATTAAACTATTTCTACATAAAAATAATAATTTCGTTTCTTTATTTAACGTGAGAAACTCGATGTGAAAAATGACTATTGGTACACTAAATGGTAATAGGAAGGGAACAAAAATATAAAAATTGTACGTAGCTGCAGATAAAAGCTTCGTATAAAGGTTCATAAAATATAAAAAAAAATCTCACGTAAATAAAGAAAAGTTCATAATGACGTTTAAAAAAAAAACAAAAATAATAATAATGACCAAATTATACGCCCTGCGATAAATAATGCATATCGAATTACATTTTTCACATCATACTCAAGACATTCGTTCCTCTGAATCTTATTATTTAGAAAACACCGCATTTACAATAAGTTGATTTATATTCACCGGAGCTTTGTTTTTTTGGCGTAATAATCCGATTTCGACTAGTACGATTATAAACAGCATGCAAATTTGGACTGAAATACAATTTACAACATTAAATACGCCACATCTGCTACAACCGATTTGCATCATAGGAATATATTTTTTCCGTGATTGCCATAGAATGATAAAATTATTCATAGAACATTATTATTATGTTAATCTCATAAAAATGCTTTGGCCTGATTTTAGTTGAGCGTGAGAAATTAGTGTTATAGCTAATAGGAGATGGGAAATGGAAGATGACAGCTGATTATTGTATCGGAGTGGTGTATATAATACATTAGCACTCGAGGAAATAATAATACTAATAATAATAATAATAAAAATAATAATACAAATAACGTTTCGAAAATCGAAAAATAGAAATTTTCAATATCGAACAAGAAAACACTTGAGCACTAGAATATTATCTATTACAATACACAAGGACGTATATTATTTAGTCTTAAATAATAGTATTATTGTATAGAACATATTCTTCGCATTGTGGTACAACCGATGTTTTTAGTGCAGTATCATTAATAGTGGGTTAAATACAGCTCGAGCCTCGAATCAGACACAACTCTTTAAATTAAATTATATTTTGTTTGCATTAGTTAATAACCGATTATTAAATCGTTAAATAGAAATACACAATCTTAGACATTTCTCGGATTTCTTGCCGATTGGTGTTCTATAGATGGGTTCTGTTTTATAGCTCAATAATATAATTTAACTGAATTAACAATAATGCTTGATTATATGTTGAATATATTGAACCGTGAAAATCCGGTATCTGATGATATTAACGTGGTATGTTCGAGCATTTGTTTATTTTGACCTCAGATAACGATTTTTTTTTCGATTTTTGGATTACTTCGTGAAAAAGGTGCCGAACCGCCTTATGCGCATTGTTTTCCAAGGTCCGTTCGAAACGCCGACTGGAAATCGTGAACCGTTACACACACAATATAGGTACACGCAGTCTGTGTTGTTCCCCTTCACTCGTAAATTATTTACCGATTTCGTGTAACGAAGTTAAGA